AAATGTCAGAGAAAGAAAAATGCCGAGCAGACAGGAAGTGATTTCGGCTTGTCCTCGATTATCTAGAAAAGGCCGGGACATTCAGGACCAGTCAGCTGTGAAAACTGTTCTGCTATATAATCAGGCTCCGCAACGCTACAGGTACCAGCAGCAGAGAAGAGAGTCACGTTACCAGAAATAATAAAACAGGGTGGAGAACAGGCACAAATTTTTGTAATCTGTCCTACACAGCGGCTACAGAAATCATGTCATGTTATTGCTCAACACAAACAGTCACTGGGAAATGTTAAACATTAATGAAATAACATTTAGAAGAGTTCTATGGCAAAGCTATCATAATGGCTAGGACATTTTTATTTCTAATTATATTTCAGTAAAGTTTTATGCAAATGTAAACATGTATTCCATACCAGAAGGCACTGACTTAATTACTGCCTTTAAAAGGAAAATCCCCATTATTATAATTCTTAGCTGATCATGATTATAATTCAGTAAGTGATGGAGTTGTATATATCTAAAGGAACATCTCAAATCATCCCAAATCTCCCGTTGATTAGGAATACTTCCATCAATGCTAGTTAAGTACCATTCATACCTTTGCTATATTCTTGCAAAGGACTATGCTGCTAGATAACAATAACACTGCATCGTGGATTATGATCAGATTGTCTTCTTCTGCAAATGGAAATAAATAAGAAGAATGCCTGTGTTTTGGCAATGGATTTGACTCATTTCTGGCCAATATCAGGATCACTGGAATAGACCTCTTCTTTAGAGAATGAGTTTGACCCCCTTCCTCCCAGAGGAGAGAACCTGGGGGCACAGGCAGACTCTGGGGCAGAAGATTTAGGATAAAGAGGAAGTGGTACTGCCTGTCTGCAAGTTAATCACTGTGCTTTGTGGGGTGACCAGAGCCCTGAGAGCTTTATATACAAAAGTCATTTCCTACCCTAAAAATCTTGAAGGATGGTAACACATATAGATTCTATATAATCATTTCTTACACAAGATCAAATAACTGAAGATCTGTCCTATGATACTGCGGGAAACACTGGCAGTGTGTGAAGCTAAAAACAGTGGTTTATAACTGAAAGCCTAATTCTCTCGTAATCACAGGAGTGCTGCATTGGTACTATAATTAGGGGCTGCCAGCAACTCCACAAGGCATCAGACATTAGTTATCACTCATCCTTTGCAAGAATATACAGGAGATTCAAAAGCAGAAAACCTCAAACCAAAGAGAAATGTTGGCTCTCCCCGCACATCTGCCAGTGGCTACAGGCTTGCCCTCCAGTTCCTTTCTCTTTCTAGCAGAACAAATTAAATGTTTTGCTAACCTTTAACTTATTGAAGATAACTCCAGAAAAGTATAGATTTTTTAATAGGAAATTTACAGCTAAAACTGTAGCTCTAAGGCTATTTACATACTTGCTGACTTCAGTGAGTAACATTAATAGACTGGCTTTATTAGTAAATTATAATTCAGTGTATACTTTGATATAAAGCACTTTTATCTCAACAGTGATATTTTACGAAGCCTTTAATTAATATTGAGACAAAACACTTAGAGATCAGGTTTCTATTTCAGAACTCAATATTACTCTAAATAACACTGTTTTTCATTTAGTTTTCATTTGAAGTTTAGGCAGTGACCTAACTGCTCTGGTCAGTCTCTCCAGTGTTAGATCCAAAGTTCTTCCTAAATAAAAACAGAGAGTCAACGTGAAAGACTCAGGGAAAGCAGAACTTGAAACAATGATACAACTAATAAAATACCAAAGTGTAAAAGAATATAAAAAGGAAAATGAAAATGATCAATAGGGAGGGCTGGAGGGGTAGAAGGGAGGGGAGGGAATGGGAAAAAAAATAAGAACCAAGATATATCACGTACAGGCGCAAATTCCCCAGGATGAATGTGATCATAATGTACATTTAAATTGCACCAATAAACTCAAGGAGTCAAAAAAATTATCAACAAAATTCAATTAGGTCACATTAGGCAATACAAGTTTTAAGTGTTAGAATGTTAAAGATGAACAAATGGCAGAAGTTACTCCTCCCACGTGATTAGCTGTTCCTGGTCCTGGTCTAAGAGAGAACCACAGATGGCCAGAGAACAGCGCGTGCAGATGCCCTCGTGTGCCTGCAGCCTCCCTCACTGACAGTGCCCCTGGTGGGCTGGGCCCGTCACAGCCCATCTGCCCGCTTCCACCCTGTCCTGAACACGCTGCACGTGAGACCCGAGTCCCTAGCGCTAAAGGACAGCTGAGCAAGAGGACAGATCAGAGGGGCGGTGAATACTGACAGGAGGGACAGAAGCAAGACTCTGCTTTGCAGTGTTTCCTGCAGAATCTTAGAAGTCCAACCAGGCTAACAGCCAATAACTAATGCACAGACTATACACCTTCCGATTTAAGGAAAAATCACTTGTGAATATCAAATTTTTTGTCATTAAATTCTCTAAATTACCTTAACCTGGTTTAATGCATTTTGAATAACACTGTTGTTCAAAAGGAAATGCCTCATTCAATTTCCTTATAATTAAACTAAAAAATTATATATGAAAAGGCATGAGGCCAAACAGATGCAGTTAGGGAGCCTGGAAAATATTTTGGGGTGCAAAGGAAAAGTAAGGTTTCCCTCTTTGCCTTCATCAGTTGCAAAATGGAACTCAACTAGCAAATATTAATACAGACAACAAACTTGCTCACAATTACCCAGGAATCATGAAGACATCCGCACTTAATCCAACCTGGAGAAACAAACCTTTCACAGTCTTAATTTTTCACATCACAATGACATCCTATATTTCAATGAAAAAATGAGTCTGGCAAACTTTCACTCTGTTCGATGGTGTGTGCTATTATGTGAGCTTCTCTTCCTGCTATAAACACAGTGAAGTGCACAGTCTCGGGTTCTTCTAAGCCCACACTCCTCTTTCTTTAAATAAGAAAATGACCGCAGTGCTTTGTTCTTAGATCTAACCAGCGAGGGCAACGGCTCCCATTGGAACTGCACTGAGAGGAACTGTGAGGTTCTCTCTGCACCACAGTCGCTCCTGGTTGCCAAGGCTCACATGTTCCATAAGCAAACCTGGATGTGATCACGGCAGAAGCAAGGAAGAAGGCACACAAATCCCAAGGCCGCATCACACAAGGGAAAACCATGTGAGAGGATCCTGGTTAGGAGCAACAGACCTCAGCACAGTGCTCAGCTGCCTGAATGTGGTTATTTCCCCCAAATTATCTGAGGGTCAGTTTAATAATTGCCAAACAATAATCACTGCACTGATGTATTAGTCTCTATTCTGTTGCTATAACAAAATTCCAATACTCTGGGAAGCTGAGACAGGAAGACTGCAGGTTAAAGCCCAGACTGGGAAACTTAGAGACTTAGTGAGACCATCACACAATCGAAAACAATTTTTAAAAAGCTGTGGTCATAGCAGTTTAAGGTCCTGGACTCAATCCTCAGTACCACAGGAAGACAGAAAGAGAGAAAAGAAGGAAGGAAGGAAGGAAGGAAGGACGGACGGACAGACAGACGGACAGGAAGGAAGGAAGGAATCCCAGAAGCTGAATGCTTTATTTTTAGAGAGGTCACTTTAGGTCAGTCTTGGAGGCCAAGAACCCGATATTGGGGCCCACCATCTGCTAAGCATCTGGGGAGTGCGTCCTTGCTGGAGTCACACAATGTGCAGAAGCAAGAAGGTCACTGTCCAGGGGCAGAGCAGAGCCTTGATTTATAAAAGTCTGCAGTCCCCAGAATGCACCAGAGCTACACTTATCCCCAGGAAGAGGGATAACTGCTCTGTGCTCAGTGCCCAGTGAGCCCAGGTCCTGGCTGCTCTTATGTTGCCATACTGGGCACTGAGCTTCCAGTATGTGAACATTTGGGACACTGATGCTGTATCCAAACTCCAGCACCAGACTAGCAAAGAGCAATATTGTGATGTGCAAAGAGATAATGCATAAGACACTGCTTTGAGAAACAATGGCAATAAAATTAATGAGTTGGCCTAAACACCCACCACCAATTTTCTGTTACTGCAAGAAAAGCAACCTCACAACCTTATGAAAAGCATGTAACTGTGAACTGGAACAGGTGCCTACGAGATCAGTGCCTGAACAGAAGAGCAGCCGGGTGTCTGTTCAGAGTGTCCTAACTTTCTCTTCTGATCTACTACAGAATTTGGGCACTCTGACCATGACGTCCTGACAGTTTGTTGATTCAGGAATATTTTTCTATGACTGACTGAATTAAGATATTGTCAAACTGGCTATATTAAAAAATATTTGTGAATTATTCTCGTAGGGTTAGTGTTAGGCTTATATACCATATATACTGGCTTAAGGTTAACCAGGTGTGTTTAAACATTTTCATAGAATGAGTTCTTTCATAAAAAGATTAGTAAATGAATGAGAATTATTAGTTTGCTGGTCTTGACCTAGAAACAAAAGACCACAAACCAAATGAAAAAAACTAACAAACAGACATAATAATTGTGTAATCTATTGTAAAAGTTAGGATGTTGAAGATCTTCATTAGCTTTCCTTAGTCCATTTTTAACAGACTTTGGAATTTTCACTAGCAGCGTATCTCCTACTTCACACTACAAATGGCTCAAAGGTGGATTTTTCCAATATAATCTATGCAAGCTAGATAAAATCATACTTGTGTAAAATAATTGCCTCTGTTTAAAAACTAAACTATAATAATAAATATTTAACTATACTGTGCTTCACTTTTTTCCCCAAATGCACAACTAGTTCCTGCAAAATTAACATTTTCTCACAATAAATTTTGGTTTTTCTAAAGAGTTAGGAATCAGAAATACGTAGAAATGGCAATGGGTAGGAATGAGAGACAGAGACAAGACCAGATCAAGATAGAATGGAGCTACTTTCACATAAAAATTTTGCATAACCATCCAGGGGAGAAACTTTTACCAAAATGACACTTTAAGAATAAAGTCAGAAGCTACAAGTAGAATCCCTTACCCTGAAAAACTCTTTAGTGGAGCCGGAGTCTAGTGTTCCGTAAGCGATTTCTGTTTGCTTGGACAAGTCCTCGGCACTCTCAATGGGGGACACCATTCTCTCCACCGTGAGGAAGGCAGCGAGGTTGGCCGTGTACGAGGAGATGATGATGAGGGTGAAGAACCACCACACGCCACCCACGATGCGCCCAGACAGGGACCTGGCAGGAGCACGAGAGCCACGTGTGAGGGAAATGACAGGGCGATCAAACGTTACCAGCAACGTGTAAATACTGACTCACAGGGAAAGATTCCATTTTCTACCTTTCTGTCCATGAAATTTAAAAAAATCACTGAACATTTGTGGCAAGGAAGGCAGACTGACTAGATCTTTGACCTACCCAGAAGCCAAAGTTTCAGATTCCTGAGATTCACACAGTTATGTGCTCAAGTAGTTTATGATTTTAAAAAACCCATAATAAAACAATTTTGAGAAACGAACGGATAATTCATTTAAGACAGTACTGTATCCACTAATGGCATAAGCAAGCCAGTACAAGATGATCTAAGATCACTAGCAAAACTCTTTACAATATATATAAAAACAGAAGCAAATATTTAAAAAGAAAGAATCTGCTCGACAGTTGTGACACTCAAAACTAAGGAAACCCTGCCTACACACAGCCAGGAAGTCCCAAGGGCTCAAAAAGGCCCAGAATTTCATTGGGATTTTGTCTGTGCAAAAATACAGCTATTCAATACAATGTAGGAGGAAAAGTGGAAAAACTAATGCTGCTTGCAAAGGTATGACATGAAATGCAGGTCTTAATGAGTAAAAGTCAGACACACCACAATGACCCTATTTCTGTGTCTCCTGCTCAAGGTAAAAGAAAATTCAAATTAAAAACAAGTTGGATGTTTGTCAAGGTATAAATTCCCAAAATGAAGCATACAAAAATGACAGTGTTTGAAACTATGAATTCTTATGTACAATGCTTTCAAAAGCTTAGCGTCCCAATAATTTACCTTAAAATTTGCAGTATAGATATGCAAATTCAGAAAAAGACATCTACCATATTGTTATGAAAGACATGATGAGTTTTGTCATGTAATTAAAGAACTGGAATACTAGTAATCCAATAATGTGATTCTTTTTCTTTGTCTTTAATAACATTGCTATGCCTAAATTTAGATTGCTAAAGTAAAAAGGTAACATTTTGAAAAATTTAAATCACAAAAATTTGGCAGTGTGTGGTCTAATGTTCTTGACAATTAAATATTAAGAAATGTACCCTTTGATAAACAGATGCTAGATTGAAAGTTTTGGTAATCAACATTAAGTTAAAAAAAGAGACAAGCAAGTTAACATAAAATGCGAGAGAAGCAAGTTAACTTAAAATGAAAGATATTTTAAGATAAAACCATCTGTTGCTTAAAACAAAGAGAAATAGCAATGAAGAAGAAAAAGTATATAATTAAGAACTTTTAAAAACTTAATTAAGGACAAAGTCTTTAGGAGATGGAAAGAAATAAATATAAAAACATGGAAAAAGTGAAGTGCCTCTTACTTATATTCTGAAAATGATGTTAAATATATTTTAGATTTGTAATGCCATATGTAAACAGATACTCTCAGAGTGTTCACTGCTTATTCCTTCCCAACAAGAGCCATAATTTTACCAAATGTACCCTGTATTTAAGAGAACACATTTGGTACGTGGATTTCCAGATCTCATAAAACAAGCATGCATTACTGGCAACTGCTTTTGCCTCCATATACTGCATAGTTAAAATATGTCTAAAAATCATTTTTATGACTCACTCTGTCCAGGTATAAAAGTAAAGACAAATTAATATCCATTGTCATCTATTCCAGAGTTTAAAACCAGCTTAATGGTTTTAAATATTTCAATTAACTTAAAGTGTACAAGACAATTCAAAAATTTATTGAACTTGTAAGGCTAGGGAGGTAGCTCAGTGGTTCTGCCACACCTGCCTTGCAAGCACAAGGACCTGAGTTCGATCTCCTGTACCAAAAAAAAAAAAAAAAAAAATT